TTCTCTGACCACAAGGCACTGAAATTAGAAACCAACCCCAAAGAAAAAAACCCAAAGCACCCAAAAACATGGAGACTGAATGGTATGCTATTAAACAACGAATGGGTCAAGAATGAAATTAGGGAAGAAATCAAAACATTTCTGGAAACAAATGAAAATGATCGCACAACAACCCAAAACTTATGGGACACAGCGAAGGCAGTCCTGAGAGGGAAGTTTATAGCAATACAGGCCTACCTAAAGAATATAGAAACATTTCAAACAAACAACCTAACCCTACGCCTGCAAGAACTTGAGGAACAACAACAAAGACAGCCCAGAGCAAGCAGAAGGAAGGAAATAACCAAGATTAGAGCAGAATTAAATGACATAGAAACTAAAAGCACAATTTTAAGGATCAATGAATCCAGGAGTTGGTTCTTTGAGAAGATAAACAAAATAGACAAGCCTTTAAGTAGGCTCATCAAGAAAAGAAGAGAGAGGACACAAATAAACACAATCAGAAATGAAAGAGGAGAGATTACAACTGATACCACAGAAATAGAAGAGATTGTAAGAAATTACTATGAAGAACTGTATGCCAAGAAATTTGAAAACCTAGGGGAAATGGAGCCATTTCTAGAAAAATACAATCTTCCAAAACTCAGTGAAAAAGAAGCAGAAAATCTAAATTCACCAATAACAGCAAAAGAAATTGAAGCAGTAATCAAAAAACTCCCATCACACAAAAGCCCCGGACCAGATGGTTTCACAGGAGAATTCTACAAAGCATTTAAGGAAGAGCTAACCCCTATTCTCCACAGACTATTTCAAAAAATTCAGAAGAATGGAAAACTCCCAAATTCTTTTTATGAAGCCAGCATCATCTTAATTCCAAAACCAGATAGAGACACAACAAAGAAAGAAAACTTCAGGCCAATATCGCTGATGAACATAGATGCTAAAATCCTCAACAAAATATTGGCAAATCGCATCCAACAACATATCAAAAAGATCATACACCATGATCAAGTAGGATTCATCCCAGGGATGCAAGGATGGTTCAATATTCGCAAATCAGTAAATGTAATACATCATATAAACAAAAGCAAAGACAAAAATCACATGATCATATCAATAGATGCAGAAAAAGCTTTCGATAAGGTACAACACCCATTTATGATAAAAACACTCAGCAAAGTGGGAATACAAGCAGCATTTCTCAAAATAATAAAGGCCATATATGAGAGACCTACAGCCAATATCATACTCAACGGGAAAAAACTAAAAGCTTTTCCACTAAGATCAGGAACAAGACAAGGTTGTCCACTTTCACCACTTCTATTCAATATAGTATTGGAAGTTTTAGCCACAGCGATCAGGCAAGAAAAGGAAATAAAAGGCATCTAAATAGGAAAGGAGGAAACAAAACTGTCACTGTTTGCAGATGACATGATAGTGTACATGGAAAATCCTATAGACTCTACCCAAAAACTCCTCAAACTAATTGATGAGTTTGGCAAAACAGCTGGTTATAAAGTCAATATCCAGAAATCAAAGGCATTTTTGTATACCAACAGTGAATCAGCAGAAGCAGAAATAAAGAGAAAAATCCCATTTGATATAGCAAAAAGAAAAATAAAATATCTGGGAATAAACCTAACCAAGGAGGTAAAAGTCCTGTATGCAGAAAACTACACAGCCCTGAAGAACGGAATCAAGGAAGACACAAACAAATGGAAACATATACCTTGTTCATGGATTGGAAGAATTAACATTATCAAAATGTCCATACTACCCAAAGCAATATACAGATTCAATGCAATACCTATTAAAGTACCAATGGTGTATTTCACAGACATAGAACAAACACTTCGAAAATTTATATGGAACCATAAACGAGCCCGAATAGCAGCTGCTCTTTTGAGAAAGAAGAACAAAGTAGGGGGGGATCACAATACCTGATATCAAACTGTATTACAAGGCCACTGTAATCAAAACAGCCTGGTACTGGCATAAAAACAGGCACATAGACCAATGGAACAGAACAGAGAGCCCAGAAATCAACCCAACTCTCTACAGTCAATTAATATTCGACAAAGGGGGCAGTAACATAAAATGGAGTAAAGATAGCCTCTTCAACAAATGGTGTTGGGAGAACTGGACAGCTACATGCAAAAAAATGAAACTTGAGCACAGACTTACACCATACACCAAAATAAATTCAAGGTGGATAAAAGACTTAAATGTAAGTCATAACACCATTAAAGTCCTAGAGGAGAACATTGGCAAGAAAATCTCAGATATTTCACGCAGCAACTTCTTTACTGATATGTCCCCTAGAGCAAGGAATGTAAAGGAAAGAATAAACAAATGGGATCTCATCAAAATAAAAAGCTTCTGCATGGCTAAAGAAAACAGTATTAAATTAGCAAGACAACCAACTGTATGGGAAAACATATTTGCCAATGATACCTCAGACAAAGGTTTAATCTCTAAAATATACAAAGAACTTACACGACTCCACTCTAAGAAGACCCCCAACCCAATTAGAAAATGGGAAAAGGACTTGAACAAACACTTCTCCAAGGAGGACATACAGAACATTCAGAGACACATGAAGAGATGCTCAATATCATTAGCTATCAGAGAGATGCAAATTAAAACCACAATGAGATACCATTTTACACCAGTCAGGATGGCTATCATAAACAAAGCAACCAACAACAAATGTTGGAGGGGTTGTGGGGAAACCGGGTCCTTAGTTCACTGTTGGTGGGAGTGCAGACTGGTACAACCATTATGGAAAACAGTATGGATTTTTCTCAGAAAAATAAAAATCGACCTGCCTTTTGACCCAGCAATTCCACTGCTAGGATTATATCCTAAGAATCCTAAAACATCAATATCAAAGAACCTATGCACCACAATGTTCATAGCAGCACAATTTACAATAGCCAAGAGTTGGAAGCAACCTAGGTGCCCATCAGTAAATGAATGGATCAAAAAATGGTGGTACATATACACAATGGAATTCTATGCTGCAGAGAGAATGAAGGAGCTACTACCCTTTGCAACAACATGGATGGAACTGGAAAGCATTATGTTGAGTGAAATAGGCCAGGTGCTGAAAGACAAATACCATATGATCTCACCTTTAACAGGAAGCTAAACAACAAAACAAACAAGTAAGCAGAAAAAAAAAACCCCAAAAAACAAAGACACTGAAATAGAGAACAAGGGGATAGTGACCAGAGGGGAGAAGGAAGGGAAGTTAAGGGGAAAAAGGGGGGAGGGATTTGGAGGAACAAATAGGAAGGACACAGGGACGAGAACTAAGGGGGGGGAGGAAATGGGAGGGAGGTGGGGAGCAAGGGGCAGGGGAGGCTGGGATGGGAAAAATAGACAAAAAACTGTACTTGAAAAATAACTAAATAAAATTAAAAAATAAAAAAAATAAAAAGAAAAAAAAAAGAAAAATAGGAATGTATAATTAACATTTAGGAAAATTTTTTTAAATATTTTTGTTCATAGTCTATTTATTATGTGAGCTACTACCTCATAGAAAGTTGAGTATAGCTATAGCTTTTTGAAAGATCTAATTTGAGATATTTGATAAAAGTTTGTGGACACTTAAAAAAAACCTTAATGTACTTAGTTGCAGCACCTTGACATACTACTGAGCAAATAAACCAAAGCCTTAAATGGATTTCACAATAAAAAGTTTCCTAATAAAAAAAAATTACACAGAGACTTTTATGGGGATTATATTAACTTTGTATGTTGCTTTGGAAAATATGGCCATTTTAACTATGAACACAATGCTTTGAAATTAGAAATCAACTGCAAAAAAGAAGTAAAGGAATCCATAAACATGGTGTATACACAACATACTACTAAAAATAACTGAGTCAAAGAATAAATAGAAGATGTGATCATAAGATATATAGAGGCAAATGAAAATGACAATGTGATATATCAAAATTTCTGGGATGCAGCAAACATTAATAAGAGGGAAGTTTATATCATTACTGGTGTATTTCAAGAAACAAGAGAAATGCCCAGGATGGTGAAAGAGTAAGTAGAAGCTACACTAACCACTTGCCAGAAACAAAATGGAATTACAACTAAATTATAGAAAAAATATTCTTGAATACCCAACTGAACACTAGCTGGACAAAGGGTTTATAACCTTGGACAGATGGAAGAGGCCACATCACCATAATATGGCATATAGGGAGTGAAGAGAGTCACAATATGTCTGGCTAGGCTCCCATGGGTGGCAGCTGAAGTTTCAGAGGGAGATTTCAGGAATGAGTGGGTTCCCCTGAGAAGCATGGGGTCTAAATTCCAAAATGGACTCCTGAGCCAAAAGCACTACATACACAAAAGGAGCCCAAATAACAAGATTATGTAAAGCAACAGGGTTTCTGAGAGACCCTGCTGGAGATAAAAAGAGACTCTTAAAGTACCAACACACAAAATTTCATTTGTAGCCACTTAACCTGGGCTCCAGTAGAGGAAGGGCAGAGTGCTAGATATATGAGTCTGGGGCTGGTGGCTCTTGGGACAGAACTGAAAAAAAACAGAGACTAGGATCATTACATTTAGTCATTCCTCACACTGCAGAGGCCACCTTTTTGAAGCAGAGCATTCCCCTCCAGGTGGTATCATGTGGAGGCTACTTTTCCCGCAAGTCCCCCCATCCGCCATGGATGAAAGTAAACACTACCAAGATGTGATCTGCTTGGGGAGGAGAGGTGACCAGTTTCCCAGAGGAAAAAGGCCTTGAGCCCATTCCTCCAGGGACTTTTATTGGGTTGTAATACACAGGAATACAGGGTGGCAAGGATCAAACAGTAGATAACATTTCAAAGAAATCTGAGGGCTTAATCTGAGTCAGTGTCTGTCAGGAAGGGGGTTTTACAGAAACTTTTAGTGTTTCCTTCTTGAACCCTTAACATATGAATGAAAACACTCTTAGTAAAGCAGGTTTCACGGGATTGTGAGGAATTCTTTCTTATGCCAAATTTATCCCAGATACTGCTCTGGCAAGGCAAGGAGCTGTGACCCTTCCCATCAGGTATTCAGGCTTAAGTAGATGAGAGCCAGGAAACACTTCTCCCAGAGGACATGGTGACTCGGGCTATGTCACATAGCCAGGGGGCAAAGGTCCATTGCTCGCTCTTTGTTGCAGGCCCCCAAGTCTTTCCATGATGGCTTCCCAAGTGATCATGTCTAACTTAGGTTGCTCCTTGCTGAGAGAGTACTTACCCATCTTCAACACTGACCATGCTTTGGGGGCAGGGAGAGGAAACTGAGGCAGCATTCACTGTCAGAGATAAGCTTTGTATCCTTTGGCTTGCATTCCAGAGGTGTCTCACTCATCCTTAGCCATGGGGGGTAGATTTACAATTCCTGAAACCAGGCAGAGTGGTCCACAACAGCATCAGTCTGAAAGAAAGCAATAATTCCACTCACATGGATTACTCTGCCCCACCTTGTGAGAAATAAGGAGCCTCCCAGACAAAAAAAAGGTTAAGGAGTTTGGTAACACCAAACCAGTATTGCAATAAGTCATAAAGGACTTAAAGAAGAAGAAGGAGAAGAAAAAGAAAAAAACAAAGGAAAATTGTTTTATAATAAAAGGTACTACAAATGCATTTATCAATAATTACCTTAAAAGTAAATGGCTTTAATGTTCAAACCAAGAGTAATAAGGTAGCTGAATGGATAAGAAATTAAGACCCATATATATACTGCCTCCAAGAGCCCCACTTCAGATAAAAAAAAACACACTCAAACTAAAGTAAATGGATAGAAATGCATATATCATGAAATATAAAAGGGAAAAAGTGAGGTATGAACACTTATATTTGATAAAATTAACTTTAAAACAAAGACTATAGTAAAAAACAAAGGATACTACAAAATGATAAAAGTAACAATCCCATAGGAGGATATAATCCTAGTGAACATTTACATAATCGACATAATAGCACCTAAATATGCAAAGCAAATCTTTTTGAACAGAAAGAGAAAGATCAACAGAAACATAGTCATAGTTGGGATTTTAATGCCCCATTGGTTTTAATGGATAGATCTTCCAGACAGAAAATTAACAAGAAGATAGAGGCCTTAAACTACATACTAGATCTAGTGGATTTATGACTTATTGCAGTACTGGCTTGATGTTACCAAACTCCTTAAACTTTTTCTTGTCTGGGAAGCTCCTTATTTCTCACAAGATGGGGCAAAATAATTCATATGGATGGGGATATTGCAAAATAAAGACAGTGAACTCATAGAGAGCAGATGACAGCTAAATGCCACCTCAGCTGACACTTATGTCATCTCTGAAGTTCTGGTGGAGAGAAGTACCACGTGGTTTTGGCCAGAGTATAGACCCAACAGCTTTGGTAGAAGAAGACCACATGGCTTTGAGGTGTTTCATTTGACCACATGGCCTGGGAAGCAGGAGGGACTTTGCCTGGAAGAAGGGTGAAAGAACTCTTTGCCAGTAAACCATGAGAAGGTGTCACATGGCTTTGGAGTAATTAGAGATTCTGCCTGGATAGCAACACAGCTGACAGTGCCAGCAGCCTGAAACACGGACATGTGCTTCTTTTCCTGAGTTATGGTACCCCAAACTAGGGCAGGGGGAGAAGGAAGTACCTACTGGATATGGTACCCCCTATCCAGGGGAGGTCAGGGGATGAAAGGATTGAGCAAAAAGGAAAAAGGACTCATGGACATGGATAAAAGTGTGGTGATTCTGGCAGGGTAGGGTAGCGGCATGCAGATTTAATAGGACTAAAACCTAATGGAGAAAAATACAATTAAAAATAAAATAAGAAAGAGATAGTTGTCTTGAGATTGGGAAAGTGGGAGCAAGGGGTAACAAAGAATAAAAGGGGAGTGGATAGAAGTGAGAAGGTAGAAACCAGAATTGTCCACAAGTTTATCTACACACTCATTGTCATTTGCTTGAAGATTTCTGCCTCCCAAGATAATCAGTTCTAGTCTTGTCTCACCTCCAGGGGAGGCTCACTTCTGGGTACTTCTGCTGAAGACTTTGGTAAGGAGTGGCTGCTGCCATCTACTATTATTTGCTTTGTTTAATAATACCAGCATCACCACGTATCTCAAAGCAGGGAGCCAGGAAAGTGAAAGAGCCAGGAAAATGAAAGAGCCAGGAAATGGGTTCTCCAGAACCCAAGATAGCAAGCACTCAGAGTTTTGTTTGTAGAGCTTTTTCTCAGAAGTCTGATCTTAAATCACCCCAGGGGAGACCTGGAGAAAGTGCAGCACACAAATGAGACTGGAATAAGAAGCTAGAGGAGAAGGCTGATTATCAGTGGGTGAATGCTCCCCTCTGGTGGACATTGTGGTTATTGTTGTCAAGTAGATTCTCTGCAAACTCCTAAATACAGCAGGATTTATAGGGCAAGGAGACTACAGGCCCTGGAATGATTCTTATCATTGTGGTTGATATGCAGCTTCAAAGATTCTTTTCTCAATGTTTTCATTAGCATATCAATTATTTCTTCATTGTGGGTAGGGGCTTACCCTTTGTGTGAGCATCTTTCCTCTGTCCTCCCTAGAGGTCCTCTATCTCCCAGAGCCCTAAAGACTGACCCTCCTGCACTCTGACAAAATTCCCTTGTCACCTCAGACATCATCCAGGCCATGAGGTATAGGATGTACATTACTTTAACAGGATTTATTTTTTTAAATGAACCATGCTGTTTTTATCTTTAGGTAAGACTGTCAAGAAAAAAATCTATCATTATTCCTAACAGAAAAACATTATGATACTATCCAAAATGAAGACCATCATCAAAATGCAGGGGTGTCCACCTTCAATTTAATAAAAATTACTACTTTAGGCTTGTCACAGAACAGAGGTCCAAGGGGGGCAATATTTGGCCCACTCAGGGATGCCAAAAACTGTTACAGAACAACAGTCCCCCCCCCAAGGATGATATACTAGTGCCATCCAGACCAACTACTGGGCTCATCTGTCTGCCACCAGAGAAAAGACATCTCTCAATGCCAGAGATTTGTAAAAAGGAAAGAAAAGGTTTATTTAAAGCTATAAAGACTTAAAGTAGTGATCCAATGTCCCCATTAAAATATCAAAGTCCTTTAGGATAACCACAGACACCCACAGGACTTCCTTCTCCCCCTGCTCTAGTTTGGGGTACCGTAACTCAGGAAAAGAAGCACACATTGTGTTTCAGGCCACTGGCACCATCAGCTGTGTTGCTATCCAGGCAGAATCTCTAATTACTCCAAAGCCATGTGGCACCTTCTCATGGTCTACTGGCAAAGAGTTCTTTCACCCTTCTTCCAGGCAAAGTCCCTCCTGCTTCCCAGGCCATGTGGCCAAATGGAATACCCCAAAGTCATGTGGTCCTCTTCTACCAAAGCTGTGGGGCCTGTACTCTGGCCAAAACCATGTGGTACTTCTCTCTAGCAGAGCTGTGGAGAGGGTACAGTTGCCATACTGGCAAAGCCCTGTGGTTCTTCTCTTCACCTGGCCAAGAGAGGGTCCTCACTCTGCCAAAACTGTGTGGCTCTCTCTCTGCACTGCCACAGCCGCGTGGTTCCGTCTCCTTCTCACATGGCTGCAGGAGGTCCCACTCTGGCAAAGCTGAATGGTACTCTTCCCTCACATGGCTGTGGGAGTCCTCATTCTGGCTGAAAATGAGTGGTTCTCTTCCCTCACATGACTGCATGTCTGCGTTTTAAATTCCCCTACCAGTCCTCCTTTGCAGCCCCATTTCTGACCCCTCCCACAATCAGTTACACCTGTCAGTATTCCTATATTTTCCAAGTTTACTGGGCTGCCATCATGAGCCTGGGCAGGTATGGCCCCATGTCCTGGACCCAATCAACTCCAAGGTCTCATGCAGGTGCTGTAACTCAGGGGACTTGCCCCCAGTTATGTCTTGGGTGAAAGTCACTTCCATCCCCCTGGCTCAGAGCAGGGCCACAGCTATCTAACATATCTATGCAGCCAGTTAAAGGTTAGATATGTTAAATGACCATGCCAGAGGTTAGCTGCAAAGCCTTTGCTGTACAAAACAGCTCTCAATGGCCCTGTTCCATATGTCCCTTCCCCAACTCACACCTGGGGGGCTGGGGGGAGGACATCTTAATATGTCCTGGACACCTTGAGTTCTGGACCCGGAACCTCATTCCAAATCCCTTTTTGGGGCCCCCCCTTTTTGATGCACCCTATTTCAGGCTGAATAATGAGTTGGTGTTTGAGATCCACAGACCTACCTCAATGGTTTTCCCCAGGATCTCAAAAACATCTCTCTATTCCTCCCCCAGCCCAGGGTCTTGACTGTCTATGCATCCTTATCTTTTCTTGAGTAACTCTCACCTCCATTTGTTCAAGCCTGTGCTGCACTTTTTGTTCTTTCCTGTGAGTCATATCCATGTCCCCAGCAAGTCCACTTCTCACATACATCTTGAGTCTCTCTTCTTGCTCCATCTCCCTGCACTACAGCAGCTCGGGTCACTGTATTCACTTCCCTTGGCCACTGCAGTATCTTTTTGACTGTTCTTCATGCTTTCATTAGTTCTGACTTAAAACTCATTCAACTTAATGTGGTCATGTTCATCTTTTAATAACATGGGGACTGGCAAAAATAATGCCCCTTTATATTACAAAATTATAAGCATGTAATTCCATAACATAACAATATCACACTCAAGCATACCATATGACATTTTAGGTGAAATGCTCAAAATAAAACTATAAATTATTACAAACATATTATTACACTACCAACCACACTCAAGCAGGCCTTATTTCTGCTGGACTCTGTGTGTAAGTTGTCATGATGTGTTCCTACAAAGCCTTTCAAAGTTTTCTTGTTACACTGTGAATAAAAAACAAACTCATTATGTGGATATATAAAGTCTGGCATACACTGATATTTATTTATCCATCAAACCCAATTTCTTTAACCTTAAACACTGCCAGTACCTGACACCTCATTTAAGAGCTTAGATTGGGACTTCCGCCAAGATGGAGGCATAGGTGGATGTGCCATGCCTTCTCACACAACCAAATTTAGAGACAACTAAATATTAGCAACAGAAAACACAGCCAGAACACGGAAAATTGAACTTTTCGGAAGTCCGTTAACAACAAATTCTTCAGCCTGACCGGTAAGGGGCGAAACCAGCTGCTGGTGAAGTGGGGTTGCACAGGAGGACTCGGTCAGACGAACTCACGCACTCGGAATCCAGGTGCAGGATTGGACTTACTTAGTGAGCGACTGAGCGAGCAACCAGGCGAGCGACCTCGGGGGAGACAGTGGGGCAGCGGGGATGCATGTTGACTGTGGTCGCGCATTTGTGCGCGGGTGGACAGGCAAGGGAGTAGGCGGTTGGACCAGGGCCCAGCGGGTCCCCACAGCAAGCGGCATTGGAAG